CCCCCCCCCCCCCCTCCCCTCCCACTGTCAGCCGGAGACCCTCGGCTGAGAAACTCCACATTGCCCGTCTCAGCCGTGGGGACTAGACGTACTCCTGCAGGCTGTAGCTGTCCTTGATGTCCTTCGGAGGGGGTTTGGAAGGAGACGGGTAGACCTTCTGGTCCCGCTCAGGTTCAGGAGGTTTCTGCCGATTCACTTTGTCCATCTGCAGCCGAACCGTCAGGTTTCGCCTGTTTTTCAGCGGCACGCGTTCCGTCTGCAGCTCCTGCCTCCGCCGGTCCTCTCGGTACGCCACGAGTCGGTCGGGATCATCGGGGGACGCGTAGTCCGGCCGTCCTGTCCTCTTTCCAGGACAGGACAGACAAAAGATGACCCCCGCAGCCAGGAGGAAGCCGGCCGAGAGGAAGGTGACGCACAGAGCTCCTCCCGGCTGATACTTGCTGCTGTCCGGCAGGTCCGTGGTCAGGAAGGCGGCGATGACCTCGTTGGTGTACCAGGACGCCGGCACGAGGCAGAGGAAGCTGGCCAGGATGAAGCAGCCCCCGGCGGCGATGGCCGTGTGCCCCTTGGCCCGGTGGCTGCCCCCCCAGCGGGTACATTTAAGCCCCAGGGAGGCGAGGCAGAGCCCGAATGACGCCACCATGCAGCACAGAACCATGGCGGCCCGCGTGGTCTGCAGACAGGCCGGCAGTGACAGCACCGAGTTCTTCATGGTGCAGCTGAAGACGCCGGAGCTGTACCAGACGCAGTCCATCCACAGACCCTGCATCTGCGAGATGGGGGTCATGACGCTGGACCAGACGTTGACGCTCACCTTCCAGTTGGGCAGCAGGGTGGCCACGGTGGTGCCGAGGACGCCGAGCAGCGCCAGGGCGAACGCCAGGATCTGAACGGCGGTGGACAGCATGGCTCAGCCCCCCCCAACACCACCCCGCCTCCGTCAGGTCCTGACAGCAGATAATTCCTCCGCCGGGCTCCAGCGAGCTGCAACCAGAGGAGAAATGAGAATGAAGTGAGCGTGGGAGCGTGACGGACGCACAGCTGAGGCTGCTGATGGGAACGCGTTCCATTTATTTCTTTATTTGTCGCTGATTGCCTGCATTAGTTGCTCTGCAGCTGATGATGTGGTGATCATTGACACTCTATTCTGTCTGCAGTCCCTCGGGTCTGTTTAACTCTCTGCAGGAGAAACTAAGATCCAAGTTCTTCTTCCTGGAGTGTAAACGTCGCGAGGAGACAAAGTGAGAGAGAGCCGGGCTCTTTCTTACCTTGTGTTGTGATTTCCTGAGGACGAAGCGAAGGGAATGGAAACAGTCGTCGTGGGTTTAACTACCCCGTCTCCTTGGCAACCGTACATACAGTTTCATCCCATTCTGCGTCCTGGAGAAGAGATGCACCAGAGGAAACGTCCGCACGAACAAAACCGTCTAAAATTCCGGTTCAGGAACCAGTTTTTTGTCTTAGTTTCTAACCTGAAGGTCAGCAGAGCCGCAGAGCAGCGTTTCTTTATCTGAGGAGTCAATGGCGGGGTACACCACGCCGCAGGAGTCCCTCCTTGTGGTCGCCTTTGACCACCTGGACCGTTCTCCTGGTTCTTTGGACGACACCAGTTACATTTATTTATTTTTATAACACAGAAAGAGTTTCAACGAGCGCCGGAAAAAAAAAAGAAGCGAAACAGCCTCGTTTAAAAAAACAAAAGAATCTATTGAGCGTGAAGGTAGCGGCTCATTACTGGTTGTTTCTGATAATATCAGCTGGTCTCAGACGCCTGACGACATCATTGGTGCTTTTTAAAAAAAAACAATCAACACGCTCCGACGGGTCGTCGCCTCGGTCCTGGTTTGGTGATAAGAACCCGCTGAGCTGCTGTTCTGCAGTGGGAGTCGTGGTGTCGCCCGTCATGTGACCGTGTGAAGAATCGCCCTCTGCGGCGCGCTGATAAGTGTCCGCAGCCCGCCCACCCGTTTGGGGCTGGACGGGACCCGGCGGTCCGTCAGCGGCAGCCTGTTATTACCATAATCCTGCAGTCTTATCAGCCTCAGACCTGCACGGACTCCTGCAGCCTCCACACCAAACTGCACACAATAAACACACGTCCCCGTCCCCCCTCTGTGGGAAAAACACCACATTAAAGCCGCTGTTTCGCTGTTTCAAACCAGCAACACCACTTGATTAATGTTGTCGTGTCGATTCAGTCACTCAACAACAAATAAGAACTCAGCAAAGACGAAGTTTCCCACCTGGAGACAAAGAGCGATGAGCTCATCATGAACGAAACAGGAGTTACTGCGGCTTAAACCTGACAGATTCTTAATGGAGTTCTGCACTGAGGTCAGACACGAAACGTCTCTTAATATGATAACACAGTGATCATATGACGTGTGAGAAATAAAAACAGAGATCACAAAGTTATTTTACACACAAAAGGCCTGAAGACGTTTAATGTAAAGACATAACAAAACAAAGGATCTTGGGACGTCCTACGCTCATCCTGGGTCCCGTTGGGGGGGTCGGGAACCTCAGGTTGGGAACCTCGTATTCAGATAAAGAAATAATTGGTTCACTTACCCACGTAATAGAAAACGTCTGCAGCGCTCCACAGAGCCGTTTGATTATTATCAGTTCATAAATTGATCCTCTGAAAGGAACAAATGTCAAATCATTAATTTAATTAGTGCTTCATTCATTCAGCAGATCGGGGTTTTTAACATTTAATTCAAAAGAATAGAAATATTAATTAATTATTTTCCAAAACAAGACTCACATCATAAAACACAATAAACATGATATAAAAATATGTTCACTTACTGGAGAATATTTGAACTGATTGGAGGTTTTTCTGCAAGATAATAAATGTTTGTGTTATTGTTTCAGAAATTATATTCTGATAGTTTTCATATACGACATAATGATGACAATAAAACACTTTCAGTTTAAGAAAAAAAGAGTCACAAAAGCCTTTGTTAAATTATGTTAATTTAAGAAAAACACATTTATTTTAAAAAGACAAAATGTCTCAGCAGCGGTTTTCTCTTTAATTTAAATGATTCTGTCGTCACTGACGTTTTATCCAGAAGACGAACAATAAGATTATTAACGTTTTATTAATTGACGTTAATTGAAGTTGTTGTTTTTAGAAGCTCTTAAATCTCAGAGCGTCCTTGAATATTTTCCCAGCAGCCTTTGCTGCTCTCGACTGCATCCTGACGACGATAATAATAAATTACACTTTTTAAAAGAGAGATTTATTATAATACAGTTGAATAAATCTGTTTTCAAATGGATGCTTGAAAAGAATCAACGTAAAAAAACGACTGAAAATCATTTTTAACTATCATCTATTCTGTTGATTACATTTTGAATAATTGTATATAAATTAAGAAAAAATTTGGAAAACGTTCACGAGTCTGCAGATATTTGAGAAGCCGTTTGGGATTGTTGATTATTAGTTGATTTAAAAATAACCATCAATATAAAACTGATCATTCCAGCTGTGATCTGTAATAGAGAGAACACAGTGTATAGTATCTGTATAACACACAGTGTAGAATTTATGTATAACACACAGTGTATAATATCTGTATAATACACAGTGTATGATATCTGTACAATATACAGTGTATGATATCTGTCTAACACAGTGTATAATTTATGTATAACACACAGTGTATAATATCTGTATAACACAGTGTATATGTGTATAACACACAGTGTATAATTTATGTATAATGCACAGTGTATAATATGTGTATAACACAGTGTATAATATCTGTATAACAGTGTATAATTTGTGTATAACACACAGTGTATAATATGTGTATAACACACAGTGTATA